GAAGACAAGGATGTCCACTCACCATTGTTACTCAGCATAGTACTGCAAATTCTAGCCAGTGCAATTAAGGCTAGAAAAGGAAGTTAAAAGGATGCAGATTAGAAAGGAAGAAATAAAACTGCCTCTCTTTGCAGATGACACAATGGTCTATATAGAAAATCCTAAGTAATCTAGAAAAAAATTCAAGAAGTAGTAAACAAGTTCAGCAAGGTTAAAGGATATAAGATAAACACAGAATAATCAATTGGTTTTCTACATACTAATAAACACAGGGACACCAAAATGAAAAATCCAATACCATTTATAATCACTCAAAACAAAACAAAGAAAACTTATGTATAAATCTAAGAACATGTACAAATCCTACATAACACTGATGAAAAAAAAAATCAAAGATGCAAATAAGTGGAGAGATGCACCATGTTCATTTATTGGAAAACTACACAGAAGAGATGTCAATTCTCCCCAAGTTCATAAAAAGGCTTAATGGATTTCCTATCAAAATACTTGCCAGATATTCTGTAGATAAAGATTATTCTAAAATTTATATGAAAAGGCAAAAGAACTAGAATAGGTAAAACAATTTTAGAAAGAAAAAAAAGAAGTAGGTGGAATCAGTCTGATTTCAAGACTTATTATAAAGCTACAGTAATGAAGGTTGTGTGGTACTGGTGGAGGGACAGACATATAGATTAATGGAACAGCATAAAGAAGGGTCTGGAGATGGACCCTCACACATATGCCCAACTGAGTTCTGACAAACATATTCAATGGAGGAAAGATAGCCTTTCAACAAAGGGTGCTAGAGCAAATGGAGACCCATAGGCAAAAAAAATGAACCTCAACCTAAGTCTCATACCTGCCATAAAATTTATTCAAAATGAATCACAGACTTAAATGTAAAATGTTAAAACTATAAAACTTTTAGGAAAAAAACAGGACAAAAATCTTCAGAAGCAAGGGGTAGGCAGAGTTCTTAGAAATGACACCAAAAACATGTTCCACAAAAAGGAGAAATGATAAACTGCACTTCATCAAAATGAAACATAAAACAAAACAAAAACAAACACAAAGGTCTTACACATTTTAAAGCCTGATAAATAAAAAATTCAACGGCATGGCTGTAAAGCTGAGGAAATCACCAGAATGTAGAGGGGGAAAAAAAGAAAACAAAGAAATGAAAAATAAAAGGGAGAAAATAAGAAAATTAGAAAATCAATTCAGCAAGAACCAACATCTGAATAACAGCAACTTTAGGCAAAAGGAAGACAGAAAAGGAAATCACCAAATGAGACAAACTAAAATTCCTCACAGTGCAAGGATGGGAGTCTCTGGATTACATGGGAACACCATTTATTAATAAATAAAAAGTGTATACAGCAAGGTATATCATCAAGATATTTCAGAACACTGTAAACAAAAGGGAAATTGATAAATTTCTAGGGAGAAATTTCTAGGGTCACACCCAAAGGGCCAAATATTAGAATGACTCAAGATTTCCTATGTACAACAATGAAAGCTAAACTATGGTACAGTAATGCTTCCAAGAAATATCTAAATGAAATGATTTCTAAGCCAGAATTTTTTTTTTTTTTTTTTAAATAAGATTTTACATGGGATGCCTGGGGTGGCTCAGTCAGTTGGGCGTCCGACTTTGGCTCAGGTCATGATCTCGCAGTTTGTGGGTTCGAGCCCCGCGTCGGGCTCTGTGCTGACAGCTCGGAGCCTAGAGCCTGCTTCCAATTCTGTGTCTCCTTCTCTCTCTGCCCCTCCCCCACTTGTGCTCTGTCTCTCTCTATCAAAAATAAACATAAAAAATATATATATTTTTTTAAAATAAGATTTCACATGTGTGAGCATAAAATAAAGACACTTCTAGACCTCGAAGGTCTCAAAACTTTACCTACCATGCATAAGGAAGCTACCACAGGATAAGCTCCACCACAATGAGGAAGTAAAACAAAAAACGAGTCAGGAAATCTAACAAAAAAGTGAGGCAAAGGGAATGACTAAGAAATTCCAAGATAAGACTGTAAATCAGGCCTAGAGAGCAACCAATTCAGATTTCATGGAGTTAGAAGACAGATTTCTTCAAGAAGATAAAATGGGCAGAGCACATAAATGCATTTAAAAGTATTAAAAAAAATGATTTCGACAACCTAGAGAGAGTTTGGGGTTAAACTGCTGAAAAGTACACAGAGAAGACAGACAAAAAAATTGAAAAAGATCGTTAATTCCAATGGAAAGAGAGTTATATAGAAAAGAGATAGTAATCCTAGTCCACAAGAAGATTCTGCAAGAATAGTGTTTTCTTACATGTAAAAACTCATACTACTGTAACTAACTGCCAAAATTTAACTGCTGTTGTAGCAGAATGGAAAATGAGAATGACTGCAAGGTATTTGGGGAAAAGGGTATACAGGGGATGAAAAAGCTAAATATTTACATTCCATACCATATAATACCTAAAAGGGAGGAAAAAAAAATCAGGAGCTGACAATATCAGCATGTTATTCAGAAACATATCAAATAAATCAACAAAAAGGGGTTGCCCCTGGAACCTTGAAATGACAGAGGAGGGCCCCTCGGGGAATTGCTTGAAGTTTTTAGTAATAAGCTTAGTTCATCTATTTGAGTATTTAAGTCTTGAAAAAAATATAAACTAAAAACAACTCAAAACAGAATCTTTCACAACTATTATATGGCTGGGCCAGAATTTGAACATACATATTTGTGAGCTCTAAGGGGCCTGTGTCTTCTTAGTTCCTCTATTCCAAAGCCTGCCTAGCACAAAGCCAGCTCTCAAACATGTTTCTGAATGAGTAGGAGAAAGTTAAAGAATAGGATTACTTTCATAACACTAGAAAATGAATGAGAAGGGCACTCTAGGCAGAGGAAATAGCAGAAGCAAAGACAGGAAACGGAGTGTGTGAGACCTTAGCAAGGCAGGGACAAGGGGGAGGAGGGGCAAAGAGAAGCAGCCAGAAAACCTAATGCTGCTGAAGGAAGATGCAGTGAGGCTAGTCATTTGGAGTCGTGGGGTAGGGAAGTGGGCGCTCACTGGTGCCTGTGGACAGATCCATGTGGCCCTGAGTATGTACTTGGGGCCTTGGGGTTTTTTGTTTCGCAATGATGACAGCAACACTTCCATCAGCAAATGGTTTCTTCTCAAATGGTTTCAGCTTTTTGAAATCTAAAATAGTACCAGACTCTGTAAAATCCTGAGGTCTTTTTCGCTAGCCCAACTACAGTACAGCTAGTTACTCTTAAGTAGCCCCTGAAAGGTCAACCCCACAAGGGATGGACAGGGCCAAGGAAAGCCTGATGAAATTCCTACAATGGCACCTCCACCCATTTTTTTGGACCTCTTTCTTCTCTTTATAAAAGCATTAAACTCCAGGGCATAGAGAAATCATCACCTCTAGGTGAATATATGCATCTGATATTACCATTATTCATACATTCATTTCATCCAAAGCCTACTAAGTACAGTTAACACTTGAACAACATGAGTTCAGATTGTGCAAATCCAGACATGGATTTCTTCCCCTTAAATACAGTACAGTGTGTAAATGTATCATCCTTATGATTTTCTTAATAACATTTTCTTTTCTCTAGCTTACTTTATTGTAAGAATACAGTATATAATACATATAACATACAAAATATGAGTTAATTGACTGTTTATGTTAAGACTTGCAGTCAACAGCAGGCTATTAGTTGTTAAGTTTCGGGTGATCAAAAGTTAATATGCAGATTTTCAACGGTTCAGGGGTCAGCACCCCCACCCCCATATTGTTCAAGGATCAACTATATTATGTCACACAGTCTGCTGGAATGTAAAGCTCCTGATTTAAAATGAGTTACTTTCTGATGGCAAAATTACTTATAAGATTACGCATAGGCAATATAAACAAAATTTTGCTTTGGTGAAAACAAAAGTATTTTGTGGAAGCAAAGTGGAATAAAAGACTATTTAAATTTTTTATGTATAATGTCAAACAGAAGTGAAAGTGAGAAACTAACTCCCACATACCCAGTGATCTGCTTCGATCAGTAACCCTTTGCCAGTTTTGTTTCTCTTCTATATCCACTCATTAACTTCAAGACATCATCTTATTTCATCCGTAAATATTTCAGCATGTATCTCTAACAGAAATGTACTTTCTTTAAACATCATATGAATATGAATTGTGAAAATGAAGTTTTTAAGATATGATGTATAATTAACATATAATAAAATGCACAGATCTTAAGGTGTTCAGCTGAGTTCTGACACTTACATGGTCCTGGGTAACCACTACCCAAAACAAGATATAGAACATTTCCATGGCCCAGAAAATTCCCACATGCCCCTTTCTAGTCCATTTCCCACACTCAGATGACCACTTTCTGATCTGTTACCATAGATCACTTTTGCCTGTTCTTGGACTTTTATATATGGGATCATAGAGTATGTGTGAATAAGAGGTTTCTAGTCCAAAAAAGGAGAAAACCATTCCAGGAGAAAAGAACTACATGTATAAAATATAAAAGTGTAGAAGGATACGTTCAAGGAATGCTGAAAAGCTCAAGATGGACGAAGACCAGGTTTGGGAACTGACAGAAGACAAGACTAGCAGACGAGGCTCACTGGAGAGCTAGGGTTTCTGGATTAAACCCCATACTTAATTCTGGGAATGAATTTATGAAAGAAATGTTTCTCAGTGCCCAAACTTCTTCCTCTGACCTAAAAAATTGGTCAGTTCTCTCAATATGCTCCTTTCTCTTCAACCCTCCAGCTAAGGGTGACCAAGATGGGAGAAGCATGTTGCACCCCATGACTCTTCATTCTCATTTTGTGTGAGGCTCCTCTGCCATCTCAGGGAAGGGAACAAGACCCACTGCCCCGACACAGACACAGACACACACACACACATACACACACACACACACACACACCTTTCTTATCGGAGGGCACATTTTAAACAAGAAGTCCCAAGTCTGAGGGGCAGCCTTACCATTATCTGGATTTCTCTCTTGCACACCTGGAGATCATGCTCATTGTTGACAAACATGCGTTTCAAGGCACATTTCATTCCATTGCTTGTCCTCACCAGAAACACGATAGCAAATCCACCTGTGAAGGAAACGCACATACAAGCTCTTTTGAGTGATGTTCAAAAAGTCAAATAACCACAGTGGCTATAGCTTTCTGCTGTCACTGTTAATGGTACTGATGCCATCATCAGCTAGACCTAGGGCTTGCCTGGGCTAGAAGGCACTCTTACATTCAAGGGACTCAGAGATATTACCACGGGATTGGGTGGCAAGAGTCAGAAAAATTGTTCCTGAACGCCTATATCAGGAAGAAGGAAGAACAGTAGTTATCTTCCAAAGTACCTACAAATAAACAGATAAAAGAAAAAAGAACTACATTCCAATCACTGTCCTAGGCACTTTGAGCTCTTATTTAATTCTTACTACAATCCTATGAGGCTGGGTATTATTTTTCCCTTGTAGATGATTATTAGCTAGAGAAAACAGAGGCCCAAAGAGATTAGATTCAACCAAAAACTTAAAAAAAAAAAAAAAAATTGTAAGTCCAGCACTTAACCAGAGAGGTCGGGAAGTTATTTTAATAATTGTTATAATAATAGTTGTCAATTTCAAGAAGCTTTTTCTTCCTTCCTTCTAATCCCTCTTCAGATCTAACAATCAACCCTGAGGATTCTTCCTGCCTTTCCTACTTCACAGGCTGTTGAGAAGACACAAAATATAGGTATGAAAGGTTCCTCGACACAGCAGACACCAGGAAAGTATAACTCGATTACAGGGCAGATGTTTTAATGTCCACACTAAACTTTCTCTTAAAGACAGTCCAAAATTCATTAAAAAATTTTATGTAACTCTAACAGAAATTCTTAAATGCTCTGGATTGGTTATATTTTAGCGTTTCACAAATTCTTACAACTCCTTACTTCAATCTCATCCCCCAAATGCTGTATGAGGTGCTCAGTACCATTGTTAACAGGGGCTATAGATAGATAAGGTGCAGGAAAGCTGTCAAAGCTGAAGGCTTCATAAGCAGTATAAGCAGTGAAGGCAGTATAAGCAGCAGTTATACTGGGCACTTTGTCCATCTACTTGCTCATACACCATCATAATTTAGCTTGAACTATCCTGTGCAATGACCCTGGGGAGCAAAAACAAAAAAAATTCTTTTGCTAGGCTATTATTTGCATATAGGTGATGACTAATTGGATGAAGGTGAACACAGAGGGAAGTCCCTAGTGTGGGAACTTGAGCTGAGGCTGTGGCATAGTGCTAAGGCTAGCAGCAACATGCAAAATTGATAGAGAGCAAAGTAGTGATTCTAGAGACTTCACGCCCGAGACAGAGACTTCAGCCCTGTTTAATCTCTCTGCAACCTCTGAGGCCCAGTGGCACTTCAGCAACTGTCTGCTGATGTCCATAGCATTTCCTCGTGTCTCTTCACAATGTTTACTCTTTTTCAAGTCTGCTTGGATAGGTTTTTCTGCTCCTTGTAACCAGAGAGCCTTAATCATAGAGCACTGTTGTTATGTTTTCATACAATACACATAGAATTCTGTTTAAAAAAATGCTAATGGACTCAAATGTTCCAAGTGTGCATTTTGATAATGATTTAGCAGCCATTGCATGTTTGTGTATCTCCTGCCACACTGTCCTTCTTCAGTATTCAGATAAACACTAAAATTTGCCATGAAGTCTTTTTTCCACTGTCATCTTGAATCTTGTATCTCAATAACATTTTTCATTTTCTTATAATACTTTAAAGTCTACTTGCACTGTTCAACTGTCAGTTTTAATTCTAGAAATTTACTTTAAAAATACGTTTAAGGGCACCTGGGTGGCTCTGTCGGGTGGGCGACCGACTTCGGCTCAGGTCATGATCTCACCATTCGTGAGTTCGAGCCCCACATCGGTCTCTGTGCTGACAGCTCGGAGCCTGGATCCTGCTTCAGATTCTGTGTCTCCCTCTCTCTCTACCCCTCCCCTGCTCACGCTCTGTGTCTCTCTGTCTCTCAATAATGAATAAACGTTAAAAAAAATTAAAAAAATAAAATAAAATAAAATAAAATGAAATAAAAATATGTTTAAACCCCTACCACATATTGGCTAGCAGAGGTCTTGTAACACACATACATACACACAAAGTCTCAATGTTAAGATGCATATATTTTACACTTTAATTTTTAGGATATCGGAATTTTTCTTGTAATAAGTAGGTACATTTAATGCAGTAGTATTTAATCTTCTTTTCCCCAAAAAGCTGTTAAATTCATGATGTGTCTTATTATCAATCAGAAGTGTTAATTATAAAGTTTCTATGTGTATTCATAATTATTTTGTAAACAGTTCAAGTGAGTATTCATTTTATGGTATTTGAATTTGTTTAAAGAATCACAGAACTACAGACTTTGTACCAATATGCTCTTAGAGAGCATTAAATCCAAGCATTTTGCTTTATGAGTAGAGGAATGGAATGGGGCTTAGGAGTCTCATGGCTAATTATGTAGAACCTGGAATGGTGTCACTCTGCTGGCTGTCCACAACATGTTCTTCCCACTTTACTTACCTTAGAGAAAACCTGTGTCACACCCCATTTAGATAATAAGGAGACACGCGATCGGGCTGCAGCACACAAGTTGGGAATGACTGTTTCCTACAGTGGAATGCACAGAACCACTAAAGGACAGGGCCAGCCCTTTCAGCAGGCTGATGATACAGCGATCCAAGATACCTGCCAGCAGATGGGAGCAGTGCAGTTTTCTTTACCAGGTAGCAAGATGACCTTTCCAGCCTGCACTCAAGAAATGAGTCAGATGCCTACCACACAATCCAGGCAGGCACAATGGGTTGAGAAGGGCCAGCCGAGACTCTCAAAGCCTATGACCATCACAGATCTAAAGGCAAAGCAATGAACCTGCGTTATCCCTAACACAGATGGAACCACACTGTTTAGCATCAATGCCCATAAAAGGGCTTATGTGCAGATGGGACGCATTTAAATCACAGGTCCTTGATCATGAGACAAAATTCAAAGTCTGATAGGATTTGTCAGTTTAAAGATATTGGTCACTATCAATGTGTAACTGACCAACTGGAGATGTAAATAACCCAGTTAGAAAGAAGAGGGCATATAGCACCACTCGAGATACTTCTCTGGCACAGGCCCATGTCCACCAGACAGATCAGGGTATGAAGATTCTCGGCCACACCTAAACAGAGTTCGGGCTGTTAGAGAAGAAGGCAATTATAAGACTGTAAATAGAGGGGCGCCTGGGTGGCGCAGTCGGTTAAGCGTCCGACTTCAACCAGGTCACGATCTCGCGGTCCGTGAGTTTGAGCCCCGCATCAGGCTCTGGGCTGATGGCTCAGAGCCTGGAGCCTGTTTCCGATTCTGTGTCTCCTTCTCTCTCTGCCCCTCGCCCGTTCATGCTCTGTCTCTCTCTGTCCCAAAAATAAATAAACGTTGATAAGACTGTAAATAGGCTTATTTCAGATTGAGTTGCATCCCGAGATCTGGATTAAATGGAAAAATCTAAAGCTGAGCTGGGCATAGTTTGGACAGAGGTAGAAAAGCTAATATTCACTAGAGCCTGTGCCAGTTTGCCCACTGGAACCTGGGCCAGTCCTTTCGCCTATCTGCATGTTTTTTTGAAACACTAAGATAGGGACATCTGGGTGGCTCAGTGGGGTAAACGTCTGACTTCGGCTCAGGTCATGATCTTGCAGTTCGTGAGTTCCGGCCCCACTTTGGGCACTGTGCTGACAGCTCAGAGCCTGGAGCCTGCCTTGGATTCTGTGTTTCCCTCTCTTTCTCTGTCCCTCCCCCATTTGCATCTGTCTCTGTCTCTCTTTAAAATAAATAAAAGCATTAAAATTTTTTTTTGAAAAGCTAAGATATTCCCTATGATTTCCCTGGAATCCCTTTTGGGGGAAAATTCATGAATTTACTGAACCACAAAGGGAAAAGGGATTCATTCCATTATGTGAGGTAAGCAAGTAAAAAGCAATGGTTCACATAAAGGAATAGCCACTCCACAACTTCAGATAGGCATAATAATTTTGACACAGACAAACTTTAGCCTCTTAAATATGTGGGAATACTTTTTTATTTACGCAAAGAAACATGCTTTTTCCCACTTTCCCTCAAATACATAGCACTCTTGGGTCTAACTTTATCCCCCTAATTTTTAATGATATGGATGGGTACTTAACACTCACTATGAAAGTAGAGATTTTGTCTCTTTAGTTCCCCTCTGTACCCTTATGCCCTAGAATAGTGCCTAACACATAGTGGGCACAGTCAAAACTTAATTCATTTTCCTCTCCTTGTTACTACAGAGAATAGAAAAGGTTACAGACAGCAGGGGAGACCACAGGAAATAAAGCAATGGTTCACGTAAAGGAATAGCCACTCCACAACTCCAGATAATGGGTGCCATGGCAATACGGACCCAGCTTTGTCAGATGTGCTAGTATCTAAAGATAAGCTGGAAGCCCAAAATTTTATGTGAAATATCTAGATGTAAACACTGGCAACAATCACATTTTAAATTAACACTGGACAGGCCAACATTGCAGAGGCTAAAGGAAACACATCTGAAAGGCTGAGTCTCTGAGCCTACAGTTTCTTACTCTGATCTAATCTAACACCTCATCTTACTGAAGGCCAGGGGATGAAGTGCCACAGCCAGTGGTACACAAAGTGAAAAAATATATACACATATATAAGCTCATACACTGGTTGTCACAGTTCTTGTGACAACCCTCTTCCCTGAAGTGGAGTTTTTGGAATTTGCCTCCACCCAGCATTTGTATTTGACTTTATACTTTTTCAAAGGCATTTCAAAATAGGGGCGCCGGGGTGGCTCAGTCAGTTAAGCATCTGGCTCTTTATTTTAGCATTTTGGCTCAGGTCATGATCTCATGGTTCATGGGTTTGAATCCTGCATCAGGCTCTACACTGACAGTGTGGAACCCGCTTGGGATTCTCTCTCTCTGACCCTCCCTCTAACTCTCCCTCTCTTTCTCTCAAAATAAATACATAAACTTTTTTTAAAAGGCATTTCAGGTGCCTGGATGGCTCAG